ACAGTTTTTGCGCTTTATAACTTTTTTCTGAACATCAGAATCAGAGCAATCTTACAGAGGGTTTTTCAATGAATAATTTTCACTACTTAATTAATTTATCTGGGCTTTCTGTTACATGTAGTGGTTTAGGATCGAATTTTGTCTTTGAACAACATTCTTGATAAGTATGTTGGATATGTATGTACAAGAGCACTGTGGGTTATCTGCAAGTATAATATTTGATATCTACTCCAAAAACCTTAATATCGCAAAAACAAAGTCGTGGGAGCGCGAGTAACGCACGAAAATGCATCAATCGATAGAGATAAAGTTTGATAATAGCACCGTACCAAAATTATCCCAAGATAATTTTCTTGGTAACGAAAAGAACAAAGCAAACTTAATAGATTTTCTCAAAACAGCTCTTACAAAGGTGGGCAGATAGAGCCATTGTCCTTTCTGCGCTTGCTGCATCCCAATCCTATTATTCTGCGACTATCGTAGCAGAGGGCATTGACATTCTTGTCTTGCTAACGGCATTAGTAAGGAAGCAGTCCAAATGTATTTTTCAACCTTCAAAAGTGCGTACGTTTGATCAATTATACTGTCATCAACAACTAATAAAATAGGCAAACTTAAATTCATGAACATTTTACAGAAACATCCTCGGTGAGAAAGTCGAGCAATTTTTGCTCAATGTCTGTGGAAATAAAGATGATTCTCTGAACACTATGAGATACAAACGATTTGCCAAGACAGTAACCAAAAATACATTCAACCTAGCATCTTCCAACACAAGGTGCAGCCCTGTTCCAGTATCCAAGTTTATCACCAGATTCAGTGGTAACTTGACAAACACTGTGATCCTGAAGTTTGGGGCTGGAAAAACCATGGAAAAATTTGGATTCCGATTTAAACTTCCAAGCCTCCAGTACCCACTGAACTTCTGAAATTAATTTTCTGTGTATGCAAGGGAAACTGTGGAGGTATGTGTGGTTGCCGAAAGGCAGGCCTCAAATGCTCTGCGGCATGCCTGATTTATTCTGGTGAAGTCTGCAGTAATATCATGCAGTAATATCAAGATTAATCGAAGAAAATGAATTGGAAGATGAAACATAAATGTGAAAGGAAGCTTTAGCTACTTTCGTGACATCCAGGTCCAGTATATGATATAGATGATGATATGGAGAGTGGATGGCTGACTTATTTTGATGACTTGAAACAAATGGACAAGTGAGATATCTATCAGGCATCAAAAAATATATCTTGTGATATGTGATATTTAAAGGGAGCCGGACAACCCCTTATTATAGCCATAAATAACTTTCTATGGACTGTCAAATGAAGATCTTTCCAATTCATAGATATACTCCATTGAAATGTTAGACTCCTTAGGCTTTAGCTTGCATTTTTTAGAGGGCGCAATTTTATTTTTTTGATGTGCTTTTGATGTGTTTGTGGGGTCGCAACTCTCGTCCTTCGGCTACCATCTTGGAAAATGGTAGGTAGGTCTAAAGTGAGTGGGTCTATTCTACCCTCCACCGCAACCCATAAGGGTTTATTGTGGCTCACACCTATTCACACTCGGCCANAGGCCAGTTGAATTTCCTGCAGAGTTTTGGGAAATACTCGAATAGAATGAAATAAGGTTTCGAGAAGTGATCTCGATATTTGGGAGATATTCGCGGTTTATTTGGCTAGTTGACTTGAGGTAAAAAGTCAGGAGCGTACAAACTCAGAAGTAGGTTGGTTGGACTTCCTACGAAGTGCTGTGTGAATTCTGTAGGTACTGAAATACAAGGTAGTTCAGGTCACCGTTTTGCGAGGTGTTTCCGGATTGATAAATATTCGCGGTTTAGTTGAATTGAGGTAAAGGCAGTCGTTTGCGGAGATTTGGTGAATCCAGTTGAATTTCCTACAATAGCTGGAAATTCTAGAGGAAGTTTTGAGTGAATTGAAATATTGAGATATTTCAAGTCACTGTTTAGATAAGTGATATTGGGTTTTGAAAGTATTCGCAGTTTGGTTCAATTTAGTTGATTTGGGACAGTTTTTGGGGAAATAGTGGCTTTTGTTGAAAACTTCAGGAGAGTCCATCTACGTTAATTTGGCGAGCGTATTCAAAAACAATTCTGATATATACTTATGATGCACTGTTTGGAACCTTTGGTGTAGTAATGAATATTACTGGAGTTTTTTCCCAACACCAAATCGTTATTTTTAACAACTCGACACGTGTTTCGACCACCAAGTGATCATCTTCAAAGAATTAAACTCTTTAATCTTCCTCTTTGAAGATGATCACTTGGTGATTGAAACACGTGTCGAGGTGTTAAAAGTAACGATTTGATGTTGGGAAAAAACTCCAGTAATATTCAATTCTGATATATATTGTATATGTTATTGCATGCGTATGTGTTATATATTTTCGAATTGGTACCTAGGGTATTGTTGAAAATTTATCTTCTAGCTACGAATCGGGTTCCCTTTGTTATCATTAGGTTATAGCATTTTCCATGGAGGAACGATTCAGTGGGTCTATTAATAGTTTCTCAGACTTGTATTTCATTTTGTTTTTATAGCAGATCTGGTAGAATTCAGGCAAGGCATACCTATGTCCTGAGTGATGTTATTTCAATTTTCAGAGGAATAATCCGGTCATTTTGTTTTAGTGGTTTAATCATATTTTTCACATGGTTATAATTATATGTTTCTTTTTCTTTCATATTGCACACAGTTTAAATAATGTTCAGTAAATCATATATAAAAGAGTAGTTTCAATATTATTTTGTGTAGGTTAAACTCCCGTATTACATTTTGTGAATTTTATTTTATCAATTGTTAATCCGAATTTATTCATCAATAAAGTTGGTTTGTGAAAACTCTGCTAATATTATTTCATTCCCTCAAACCCCTAAAAGACCACGCATTTAAGCCGAAGCCGAATCCAGTCTCTGAAGATATAATTGGTGGCATAACCAAGCCATTGATCTACGAAGTTAGAAAGGTAAAAAATTCACCTGTCAACCAACTAGCCCACTAATTCTCAATCCGTGTGATCAGGACAGATTTCAAACTTTTTCTGATCTGGTGGTAGCAATTCTCGTGCTACCAAACTAAATTAAGAAATAAATACCTTCGGCTGAACGATCCTATATACAGTAGGGTGTATGTTTCTGGTACGAGTATAACTGAGATAATTATTATATATCATTAGTAGTGTATATGGATCGCCAATTCAGACCCGGTCATTTGTTACACTGAATTAGATCCCTAATCGCAGCCTGGACCATCAAAGAAAATGAAAAAACGAAAGCTGGAAAATAACTTTTCAAATATATGATTAGGCTCAATATTATCTTCCCCAGAAATTGTCCGTGAATTAGGCCTACTGGGAATACAACGTAAAAAAATGTGCCTCCAGACTCTACCTTATAAGTGGTGGGGAAAAGGGTCGAAAATAAATTAAGAAAATGTTATTTTACTGTAAAATGACCAGAAAAAAATATAACACACGAATATTTATGATTTGTTTAATTCCCATTTCACGATAACATAGAGTTGTAGACAATTTCATTTGCTACAAATAATGCATCATAAAGTTTTCTGAAGGGTTTGTAGTTTACAGGATACAGTGCAAAAACCATTTGTACCTCTTTTTATAAAGATGGTGGCCGGGGGACAAGGGTTGCGACCCCACAAACTTAAACTTCAGCTTGTACTGACCCTCCTACACATCAAAAAAATAAAATGGCATCCTCTAGATGCACACGATTCTGTTCTATGGTTTACTATTTTTTTGTTTTTTTTTTATTTGTAACTTTTTACTAAACCATTTTTTCATCAACTAACCAATAACACTGAATAATCCATTTTAGTTTTCATTTAATAATCATTAAAATTTTTAGGCCAAACCTCAACAAAAATTGCAGTGGACATTGTTGAATTGGTCCAATCCAGGATGTGTTGGAAAGTTGAACGAATTTTACCAGTGAGAAGGGTTGATTTCAATGTGTTAGCTACTTAATGTTTTTATATTTTTTTTTATAGAAACGACAATGACAATTTCGCCAACTTACGTGATAATTATCATCATTGGTGGTTTACTCTGACTTGGAAATATTCCAAACATTTTCAGCCATTTTCAGATGATGAAATTGAGGTAATCATATACTTATATATAGAAATATAGATTAATGAGTATTTTATTATAATGAAAAAAGGAATAAATAACCCGCGAATGTAACAAAAATAGAGTCAAACGTCGCTGTTATAAAAAACCAAAGTCAAAAAATGATATGATAGAACTCAATTCCCAAAATATAAGAAACCCTATCAAAAATGAACATGAAATGGAAAATAAAAATGCAAATGAAGAGGTAGAGGATCCATGTTCCAGTGATAGTTCTTCAGACACTATAATTTATGAGACTATAGGCTCAGGTATAATACCTTAGAACATGTGGAAGAATAATAAATTGTAAACTATATTTTAGAACCACAAGAAGATAAAATATTGAATGATGTTGAACCGATTGACGAAAATAGTATTCTTTTATCCATAATTGATGATGGTGCAGATTTAACACCGGTTGAAAATATGGATCCAGAAATCCAAATATCACGAAAAAAAGAAGAATTGATGACCCAAATATTTGATGACGATCCCTGCATCTATGAAAATCAAATACAGTCGGAACAAGCAGATGCTGATAGTACTGATTTCCTATTGTCCTTGATATAAATTGGTGAAAAAATATTTGGAAATCTTGTTAATTACTTATAAATTTATTACATTTTGAAATGGAAATATTTTTTTTGAGTTATGGTGTAGAGTTCATTAAAAGAACAGGGGGGCTTTGAAATTATTTCTCATTGAGTTGAGTGGAGTTCATCAAAAGGAACCCTATTTGGGAGCTATATGAAACCTTCTATATTTTGTTTATCAGTGACAGGTGCAATATCATAAAACAAATGTAACTTCTCACCAAAAATAATTATTTGAGCAAGTCATCATTTGAAATCCATTTGAAAAGTAACACGTCGTTTTCATGATTGAACTCATGCCCTTGTGCTAAAAAGTGGTTTGCAAATGTGGAATTGGTCTTCAGTTCTTTGGGTTCAAAAGCCGTAGATTTTTAGAATTTCTTCGTGACGCGAGTGGCTAGCTTCTTCAGGGGTTTACAATCTGAATTACTATCTTCGGATAGTAATCCAGAATGTATAAATCTCTGAAGAAGCTAGTCACTCTCGCCGGCGAAACGTCAGGAAGAAGTTCAAAAAATCCACGGCCTTCGAATCCTAAAAATTATCAGATAAGATGAGTCATGAATAACTTTGAACGTCTTCAGATCATTAACAAACAGAAGAAATTCACTAGATAGAATATAACAATCATTCACCTAATTTAAACCCTGAAAAATCTGAAAAGTTATAGTATTATTATTCAAGTAATGTGAATCTAACTGATATACACGCCCCACACCATACACTCTTGTATCCAGAGGTGAACTATGCCTTATAATTTCATCGGACAAATGTCACTGCTGCGATAATCATGACCCGCGCCAATTTGGCTTCAACAGGAAAAGAAGAAGGTAATTGTTGCCGCATTTGTAAGTTATATAAAACTGGAATTTTTCGCTGGAATGAACCAACAATACGGACACATGGCAAAAAGAGAACTGATCCTACAAACAGGCAGATCAAAAACGAATGATAATGCACTAAAAATCATGACTCAATTTTCTATCTTTTTCTCTCTAACTTTCTCTCATTACAGCTGATAGAGATATCAGTAAATTAGGACATTAGAAGCTTATTATTCAAATAGATACCTTTTACTCTGAAGAGAGTATCAAAAACAAATCCCACTTTTTCCCATTTTATTTTGACGTTAATTACCCCGAAGAAACAAATATCACTGTACATTCTGTAATTCACGTAAATGAACAAGTTATCTGAAATAACAATATTTGTTTCTCACATTGAAAAATATACAATTTTTTCACAAAAATAGAATACAGTAATACGGAAAATGTTACTTGGGGTAAAATATTGATATTATCACAACAGAGGATCTGGTAGTCTGAACAATTTCAAATAAATCACGAAACTTACAGTATTCNTAAAATTTTTACTGAAATTTCATCAATGCCTGTTGCATTTTTGTTTTTATTTTCTTGCAAGATTTCTTTCAGCTCTAATAAATTTGTGTCTTCAAAGTGAAAGTTGTTGGGCATATTTACATTATTTGAATAATCCATAGGATTTGAAGTAGGAACAAGGGATGAAGTTAGTTTTCGAGCAATTGTGCAGTAAAAATTATTGAGTGTTGCCGGATCTATATTGACGTGTTCTGGAATTGAATTTGATTTATTTCTTAGACTATTCACTGTGGCCCAGGTTTCTTTGATTTTATCATCAGCTCTGTTTATTCTACTCTTGTAATAATTTTTTTTGCATGATTAATTACCCGTCTGTAAATTTGATAGTGAAGCAATTTTTTTGAAGTTGTTAAGCTTTCAACTTCGACTTGAAAACCGCTTTATTGCTAGAATCTTTTATCGAGGTGTCCAGTTTGTCAATATTGTCCAATATCCATGGTATTTGATTCTGGTGTTCATAAAAAGAACCCTACACTCATGGAAAAATTTTTAAACTTGCAATGTGTTTCAGACTTCTAAGATATTTCTATACCAAAAAATCGTTGAATCACTCGCAATATGGCTACTTGAAGGGTAAGTCCATCGAAACTACCATACATGAGTTCATAGAAAAACTTACTAACGCATATGAGAATAAAAATATATCAATGGGTATCTTTCTAGACCTGTCAAAAGCATTTGACAGTCTGGATCATGAAATTCTGTTAGAAAAGATGGAGAGATATGGTATCAGAGGACCAGCTCATGACTGGAGAAAGTCTTATTTGACACAACGCAAACAAAAAGTAGTTAGAAATTGCCAGGGAATTAAATATTACTCAAAGGAAATTGAGTAGTGTTTACTATGAATAAACTTATACTAAACAAAGGTTAAACAAATTATATTTGTTTTCGAACTAAAATAAAAAATAATATCATACCTGAGGCACTTCAAATACAAATATAGATAGGTAATAACACTAGCAGGAAACACGAAATTTCTCGGCCTATACATTGAACAAAACTAAGATTTCGAAACACACAGGGAAACCAGCTATAAATTGGCATTATCTGCTATGCATTTAGGGAGACATTAACGTATTTGGATGACAGAGCAAAGCGAACCATTTATTTTGCCAACTTCCACTCAGTGATGCGTTTTGGCATCATTTTCTGGGGAGGAAGTAGCCTGGCNTTAATTTTTTACATATTCTTTTCGGTGTTTCAAATCAATTTTATATCATATTAGACAATGGAAGTCCGAACTAATGAAATTCATCAAGAAACATTGTCAACTACCTTCAAACAAAAGTGTTTTTAAGCTACAAAAAAAAGCGTCCGCTATGGCCATAAGTCTAGACCACAATTATGTGGAGGTAAATTCAAAAAATTTAATATAATGACCATACCAGGTATCTATATACGAGGTCCGGTTATTAAATAACGAGACTGCACGCCTAGAGGGATGGGAAAAATACGAGTAGTGTGTTAGTATCTGGAAATCTTTTCTATTCACATACCAAAACACGTTTTCGTCACTATTACAGTATTTGTGAAGTAATGGTTTGAAACGAACGTTTTCTCGTGCCGTAAACCATATGAGACGAAAAACAGGAGCAACGTATCAATCTCAAATTACTCGTTTAATTGTAAACAACTCCGACTAAGTACTATAAATTGTTGCGAGAGCCCTATGGGGACAAACGGCAGAACTCCTAAAGGCCCTCACCAAAGAAGATTTCCAGCGCACTGCTTCGATCAATGAAAAAAACGTTTGGAAAGGTATGTGGCGAAGAGAGGGGAATATATTAAAGGGAATCATTCGAATGTAGCATACTTTATATAAAAAACCTTTTTTGTAAACAGTCTCGTTATTCAATAGCCGAACCTCGTATGAGTGCTTAATGTTTCTATTTGAAAATCGCAGTAAATTTGAATTGCATAAGATAGCATAGTCTAAACACACGAAACAATAACACTGATTATAATATCCCAATCCACAGGTTATCATCAACGGAAAACACCCCAGAGTATGCATGCATGTATGATTCTTCAATAAATTGACCAAAAAGTTTAAACAATAATTTAACACACTACCACTTATACCGTCGCTGATTTCAATGAAAACTCTATTTTCTTCAAGGAAGTGTTGGAACCTGAGATACTAACGACGATGAATAATTTAAATAATGAATCATCGAGTGGATTTGATAATATAACAGTGAAGGCTCTGAAATATGTCATCCGAACAGTATCGGGCATTCTAGTGAAGCTCATAAATAAATCAATATTTGAGGGAGTTTTTCCTGAAGTCTGGAAAACTGCAAAGGTTATACCCAATACATAAAAAAGGTTCCCAAGTAGATATTGACAACTATAGCCAAATTTCATGTGTGCCATCAAAACTACTAGAAAAATAGTTGCAAATAGAATTGTTCTATTCAACGAAAAGTCATTTTTTGTGGAGGAAAAATCAGTTTTTTATCGACTTCTTTTGGGTATTTGTTACCTTCCACAATCTGAAAAATATAAAAATTATCATAGAGTAAACTAAAAAGTTTTCCCGTTTACCCTTGTATAAAGTTCTTCATTATAATTTTTATATTTTTCAGATTGTGGAAGGTAACAAATACCCAAAAGAAGTCGATAAAAAACTGATTTTTCCTCCACAAAAAATGACTTTTCGTTGAATAGAACAATTCTATTTGCAACTATGTTTCTAGTAGTTTTGATGGCACACATGAAATTTGGCTATAGTTGTCAATATCTACTTGGGAACCTTTTTTATGTATTGGGTATAACCTTTGCAGTTTTCCAGACTTCAGGAAAAACTCCCTCAAATATTGATTTATTTATGAGCTTCACTAGAATGCCCGATACTGTTCGGATGACATATTTCAGAGCCTTCACTGTTATATTATCAAATCCACTCGATGATTCATTATTTAAATTATTCATCGTCGTTAGTATCTCAGGTTCCAACACTTCCTTGAAGAAAATAGAGTTTTCATTGAAATCAGCGACGGTATAAGTGGTAGTGTGTTAAATTATTGTTTAAACTTTTTGGTCAATTTATTGAAGAATCATACATGCATGCATACTCTGGGGTGTTTNAAAGGCTCTGTAGTGTATGACTTGTTTTAAAAACCACCTTCGTACCTAATTTCTTGAAAAGCTTTCCAAAGTTCCTCGTATATTGGTGGTATGGAACTGAGATGTATTCATCTTGGTTTTCGTCCTTTCTGAAAGTCGAGATTTCGTTCATATATTGTAAAATAATAGAAAAGGCAAAATTGTATATAGCATAAATAGGGTTAGCTCGCATTAGTATCTAGTTTTAATCTTCCTCTTTGAAGATGATCACTTGGTGATCGAAACACGAGTCGAGGTGTTGAAAATAACGATTTGGTGTTGGGAAAAATCTCCAGTAATATTCATTTACAATAACATTGAAAAGGGAAAGTATGTAGTATCAATCTTATTTGATCTAGCGAAAGCCTTTGATTCAGTAAGAAATGAAATTATGATCAGTAAATTGTACAACATTGGTATCAGAGGATTCGTACTTGAATGGATTAAGTCATTTTTATCTAACAAAATAATGGTTGTGACTCTGAATAACACTGCTTCACATATTCAAGTATTTATGCTTGGTGTACCACCA